CCCCAAAACCCCAAAACCCCAAAACCCCAAAACCCCAAAACCCCGTTACTTCTGAAGTTTTAGAAGATAAAGTAATTTATAATTATTTTCATTGTAAAAATATGCAAGATAAGAAAGAACTCAATAAGAACCATAAGCTTTTCCAGAGGTAGGTCATGCAAACTTCTGTGGGGTATTTCCACCCTTGTGACCTCATTGATAATGGTCGTATAATCTCTGTCCTTAGGAATAGTTATCAAGAAAGTAATGTAAAGTTCATTTAATTATCTTGGAGTTATAACAGAAGTCCGAACCTTGTTGCCTAATTCCTAAGATTTATTTGGAAGTTATAAGTTTCCCACTGATTTTTATGCTATTTTTGGCTAGAATAGCGACACATTTATTTCACTCCTGAAAGTTCGGGTATTGACTGTATAATGTAGGAACTCAAAAGAATCTGAGGACAATCTTAGTCCACAGGGTACAAATAGACCTTTGTCCAGGAGGGATAGACGAAGCGAACTTGATAGAGAAGATAACACTATTGGGACTTCCCAAGGTGTAGACAACAGGTATAGTTTTAATGCTCATTAAAATTTGATCGTTATGACAAATTTCTTCTAGACCACGAACTTCTTCTGTTGTCTCAAGACCCTCACAAAAAGACAAGAAGGACACTGTAAAAATGATTTGCTCCAGCGGAACTATCCCCAAGGGAGGATTTGAGCACTACAAAAATAGCATCAAAATTTTCAAAGCTGCAAATGACACCCAGCAAGAAATATTTGAAATAGAAAGGCAGGGAAAGCTCAAGGCATCCAACCGAGATCTGGTTCTCCCAGGCTCAGCTTGCTGTAAGCACTCAATGATGATTTTTGCTCATACTGGTTAAAATTTACCCTAAAATTACATATTTATATAAATTTTATTAGGTAGCAGAAAATAAAGAAAAACATTGCAAATTTGAAAACCCCAAAATCAGCCTAAAAAAGGCAGCTAAGCTACTAGCAAAGGGTTGTGAAATCCCTGAAAAGTAACACATCTCTCTGACGCTTAGATTTGAGAGTAGGAAGCAACTCCTGGATTTACAGAGAGAAAAATTGCAGAATAAATTCTCTAAAGGTACCAGCTTCTTCTGGGATGTTCTAACTTCTTTAGTAAAATTCTTCACAGAGGAAGATAAGAAAGTTACACAAGATGATAAGAAATCTACGGAATCGATCAAGAGAAATATCACACTGCGCAAGAAGGTCATGAGGAAGAAAAGTAGCTCGAACCTGGTCTTCAAGAATACTGGAAGTCCACAAGGAAATCCAAGCTTTGGAGATACATTGAAGTTTAACAATTTACCTGATTTCCCAGTTTCGCCATTCGGAGATGAATTTCCGGTGAACTCAAATTTCAAATTTTCAACATTACTCCCAGGTAATGTAAAGCTTCTGATAATGTGTAGGCAAATCAGAGGGATTATTCAAGTCAAAGGAGAGTGAAAAAGAACAAAAGGCAGTTCCAGTTTTTCCTATAATTGAGCAATCCAAAGACCAGAGTCCATCAAAATTCCTAAATCTTGCAGGTAACAACAACTTATCGCCAAGACGAATAAGTTTTGTAGACAAGAAAGCTGTGATTGCAGACAATTATGAGCCTGAGATCATGAAGGAAGATTATAACCCCTTCACAAGAAGACTTCCCAGAGTCAAGAAGAGGAGTGCTTCGAAAGGAATCGACTCAGAAGAAAAGCAGGTTTCGACTAAGGTAACAACTCTTGTTTTATTTTTAAATATAGATGAAATCTGAAGGCCTTTTTGATAGCTGGGTAAAATCAAGGCAGAAGACATCAAGACCTTCCAAGAAGCATAAGAGCAAGCATAGGGTTCTTCTGGATTCTATTAGGAAGGCAATCAAGTCTCCTCATAAGAAGGAATCTTCAGAAGATCTTGTAGACTAGTTAGAGATTAGTATAACATTAGAAATAAAACTCCCTAAAATTTGAAATATTAATTTTTAAAGGGGTTTTGGGGTTTTGGGGTTTTGGGGTTTTGGGG